ACGATTGCCATTTTGGTGGCATCTAAGATTATTTAATATATTAGCATCAGTGTTATAACACATAGCCAAAACCATCTTTAGACTAAAAAACACATTGAAGCTAAGAATGAAAGGTCATTTAAAGGTTAAAGCTTTAAATTTAATTTAAGATTATTTAAAAGTTAATAAGAATTGTAACAAGTAACTAACATTAAATCGATCACCACTATTGAAACCATTTGGTGCTGAACAAAATACTACATGAAAATGTCGTCCAACATATGAGATTTGTAGTAATAAAACATTGTCACAATGTTCTCTATTTGATAAGATATCTTTTATCACTGTAAAGGAATGATAAAATTATGTAAAATTTATTTTGCTTTCAATCAATTTTCATATAATTCAAATATTCGGATCAAAAAAAAAAAGAAAATCTTCATTTCTTATACACCATTGATATTCATCGTTATCAGTTCTTACTTCATTGATAGTTAATGTTATCAAAATCGTTTAAAAAATTATCATTACGTGATAATAATTTTTAAAGGACGTCAAATAGGTCAAAATTATTTTCCTCGCGTAGTTAATGAAAAATATAAACATGTAGAAACTTTACAGACAAACAACACACACACAGACATATACATACACATACGTAGATTATATACATGTGTATGGTTCCATTTTATGATTTACTCGAATGTTCTGACAAAGCATATTACGATAATGATTACAGTACTTCTACTATCTATAATATCTATTTTAACGTACACAGGAAATTTATTTGATTAAAATAGCAATACGAAAAACGATTAAAATTTATAAATATGTAATTTTAGCGCATATACATGTAATGTAAACGTAAAATAAGAACACAATTATTACAACTATACTGTATGATTAGAATACTTTATGTTTAGGATACTGTACATTATGAGTTAAACCATTTGATAGATTTAATATGCAAAAAAAAAGGAAAAAAAGTTTAAAGTCGTACCAGTTTCATTTGAAGTTAACTGTAACTGAAGGTTAACCGTTTGAAGTTTATCACCACGTATTAGTGTAATAGGAAATGGTATCGATGACATAAAAGGGTCAGTTGAAAGAAGTGAAGGTAATGATAATGTCGATGGTGATGATGATAACGATGATAATGATGGAGGTGGTGGTGGTACTGGTTGTAATGGCAATGGTGGTGGTGGTGGTTGTGGTTGTGGTGGTGGTGGTTGTGGTTGTAGTTGTATTGGTGGTAGTGATGGTACATATTCTGATAATGTTCGTTCAGAAAACGATGATGAAGTTTGTGATAGAAGTGGAAAAATAGGATGACCAAAAGAAAAATTTTGAAACCATATCGGTAATACACTATTACTATCATTATTATTTTCAAATAATGAGGTAGATTTTGATAATCGAAATGGATACATGATAATAATGATGACGATGATAGTAATAGATGATGATGATGATGACGATGATGTTATAAGTGACACCTTTATGATGTTCATTCACCACCCTATTACTTACTTACTATTACTACTATTATTATAGCTACAGTATGATCTTTGAAATAGGATCGTTGAAGGATAGGAGTTGTTTAACAGTAGATCCCCATTTTCATCCTATTCTTGCCAATTCTTTATTCCCTTGATAATATACGGATGGAGTTCTATTGGATGATGACTAAATTTGATATAGCAAAAAGGGAAGATTCAATTTACCCTTAAAGCTTTACTAAACATCATTATTCTTTTCATTTTCTTCATTTCTCTCTCTTTTTCTCTCTCTCTCTACGAAAAAAAAAAGGAGAAAAAAAATAAAAGAACCCTACTAATATCATCAAATAGATTTATTTCATACTACTACCGTAACCTGAATAGATAGAATTAGAGAATTGGTTAGAAAAGAATGCTTCCAACAACCCTCTCTATTCATCTATCGATCATTCTTCTATCCATTTATCTATCTATCTATCTATCTATCTATCTATCTATCATCGATCTATCTATCTATCTATCTATCTATCTATCTATCTATCTATCGATCTATCTATCTATCCATGTATCTAATCTATCTATTATATCAACCTATATATTATTTACTTAATTGAAATATTCGATAAATATGATATTTCAGCCTAGAATATCTAATTTACTTCTAATCTAACTTATCCTATCAAATAGTAACATTATTACATTAACATTTTCCATCCATTAACTAACAAACAAAGTAAATAAGTAAGTAAGTGAATAAGTAAGCCCATTAGAGCAAATGTCAATTGAGAAAATATAATTAACTTTTAGGATTAATGGTGGAGGGGAAAGGTCAATATTGAACTGAGTGCCATTTTCATCTCATCTTGTTAGATAATACAATAAGGTTAACATTACAATAACCTTATGCGCTCATCCACTAATTATATTCTATTCATTTGATTATCATTTCGTTTAACAAAACAATATTTCCATTTCTAATACTCAATTATTAGTCTACTAACCTTTAACCTCTTCCTTTTTTCTTTCTTTTTCACCTATCTTTTTCTAATTCTTCAATCTCTCTCATCTTCATTATATTCCAATTTAAAGAAAAAAAATTTTTCCTTTAAATAAATCTTTTGTCTTGCAATATGCAATATTATGCAAATAACCTTCCTTAAAACTTTTTTGTTATATTTCTTTTTTTTTCTTCAAACAATTGAAAATAATTACTTTTATAACACAATAAGGTTATTGGGTTCCTAGGCTAATGTTGATAATTTTTCCTAACTTATCAATGCTAGCAAAATTTATTTTAAAAAAAAAAAACACAACTTATCATTTTTATTACTGTTTGTTTAAATTTTAATAAAAATTCATAGTAATTATTCATAAATTTCAAATTTTAAATAAATTATATTCACAGTTAAAAATTACGAATAATTCATTATTTAATATTATTTTTGTTTTCTATTTATTCTAAGAAAGAAAAACATATTTAGATATATTTCGTTTAGATATATTTAATTATGCAAAATGATAATTAATTATCATATAACCATGTCAACACCACTTATGGATGATTAGAATTTTTTTTTTTATATATCCATAATATGCATTAACAATCCTTTTAGACATACATACTGATACATAAACTGTTAGATAATAACTTTGTACAAAAAATAATTTCATTTCCTTTTTTTTAGATTATTTTAAAATCAAATTTATTGAAATGAATAACTGGTTTAACATAATTAAATAATGATTATCTTTGTTATCATTCACTCCCTTTTTTCCCCTCCTCCTTCCTTCCTTGATAATTGATAATCGAGATCACTATTATTTATATTGCTATGATTTTGTGCCAAATAATTTGTAAACAAAAGATTCGGCTAGTAATGAAAAATATAGAATGGCAAATTGATAGATATGCGTGAATACCTGTAATTTTTTTAATATTAAATTAAATTATTGAATAGATAAAATATGATCAATATAATGATAATTATGTAAAATGGTAACTAATTATCATATCATTATATCAACGCCATTTGTGAATGATTGATTTTTTTTTTTTTTTTTTGTTGATATCTATGATATCCATTAACAATTTCTTTAGATATACATACTGATATGTAAAACTTAATTATTCCATTTCTCCAATATCATTTTAATATTCTTGTATTCAAAAATTTTTTTTTATTTTGAAAAATTTAAAGGAGAGGATTTTATAAGGAGAGAGGAAATGAGAAAGAGAGAGAGGGGGAGAGAGAGGGGTGATAAAAATGGTAAAAGAAGACACTCACTTCAATAAGTATTTAATTAATTGGAATTAATTAATTTATAAATAATTCACAAACCATAGTTCCATCATTATTTGCAATTAATAATTGTAATGTAATAAAGCTAATCATTGTATAAAAAACTGTTAAAAGTATGTAAGGGAAAGTTAAACCAAATAATATTCCAATTGCTATGTGACAGGTAAAACTGCCAATAATTGTTATTAAAATTAACAATGAACGTTCACTAAAATAAAAAATAATCAAATTAAAATTGAAATTGGATTAATTTAATTAAATGTCTTGTTTTCTAAAAGTTTTATCATATGATAACCCATTTGAAATACTACTATATTTATCATTTCACATCTTCATATTTTTCACTTGCTTCTCACTTTTTTAATTAATAACTTTAATTAATTTTAATTAATGAAAACACTCTTTTACGATTACTGTATATGATTACAAAGTTTATTTTGATTAAGATACAGCAGGACAAACTTAGTAAACATTTTTTTCTTGACCTTTTTTAGGATAAACTTGCTAGTCATCATAAGTAACCGATCAAGGTAACGCAAAAAAAAAACCCTAGAAATATTAGCCTTTCCATCTTTAATCATACTCATTTGACGTAATACCACGTCATTAGTGTCACGTATCAGTTGAAGTATAAATAGTAACAGAGGGATCAATTTACAGTAAAATGAATTAATCATTCCAATTAAAATGAGGTTGAATTGTTAAGCTTAAATGAAACTTTATGAATTGTTAAATTTAAATAAAACTTTACTTTTGCCTTGCTGAATGAAGTAATGGCGCAATAATACCAATAAAAAATGGTGTTAAAGCGGCAAATGGAGATAAATTATGAAGTATACGATTTGAGAGTATATAACCTGTTAATAAACCCTAAAAATAAAACATTTAGCAATAAAATTTCATTTATAAACCATTAGCTGCTACTAATTACAACCATTATAAATCATTAGCGACATATGCGCTTCTGCTTACTTCAACCATAGAGAGTGTTAGTAGCGCATGTCGTAGTATCATATCATTCCATGCATATTTTCTAACTGATAATTTATTGATGTAATGACATGTTATCAGTGGTAAAAGGACATAAGCACAAATAGTAGCCACAAAAGTGCTAAAATTATATTCACTTCATCAATCATTTTTTGGTATAAAATAATTAAAGGTTAATAGTATTGGAAAATTCCTTGAAAAAAAAACGAAAGTTCCATAAATACCTTTCTTTTTCTTTTATGATAAAATTATCATCCAAATCTATTTGGATAAATAAGATGAATGACGGGATGAATCATTCATAAGTTGAATTTGTATTCAAATAAAGGTTAAAAATTAATAAACAGTCGTTGACAATAGATATTTATATTACCCAATAATTTGTCTAATTAAAATTGAAAAGAAATATGCGGAGAAAGTTGAGAAAATAGAACATGTTAGAAGAAGAAGCGCAGTCCATATAAATGTTTGCATTATCTTTTCAGCATCATATTTGACAGGTGTCATATTAGTTATCATATCCAATAATTGTGATTTTTTTTTATACATTCGCGGTTGTAACATTTTAAATCTTTGCTGATAATGCTTAATCTGTAAAATAGATCACTCCTTGTTATGATTAAATTATTCTTTTTATAATTACTTCGCCTAAGCGAATTTTCTTCCATTATCTCATCAATTAGTTGTTGGTATATCAGGTTTTGAATCCGGTTAATCCGTAACAATTCATAGATGAATGCCCGCTCCAATAGCTAATAAATACTATAGAAGTTACTGCTGCAGAAATATTTGGTAAGATACTTCATTGCTTAGTATCATGACAAGAAGCACAATGAGTAGTAACATACCAGGTATGGTCACAATAACAATTTTATCAAAGCGTGAGAAGTATTATAACTACTTCCTTGCAATAAACATTTTATACTCAAATACTTCTCAACTTTCAATTTATATAATAGAAATACTAAGTGTACATTTTCCTCTCTCTCTCTCTCTCGCCTCCTACTCCCTCTCTTCTTATTT